GGACTTGCAGACATCATGATTTGGTTGACTTGGTTTGGGGAAAACGGGCGTCAGGAGAATTATGCAAATTTATTGGAAATGTTGTGTGTTTTGCAAGTGATGAATTATTTTTGGGTTGAATAAAATCGATGTGCGTCAAACATTGGTTTTATGAGTGCGCGAAAAAAATGTTGAGAATGTAAATTAAATGTCACGGTTGCCGTCCTTCATGAAGGGTTATGTCAGACTAGCTTTTCGTTCTGAGCTATAGTCGCTTCAAATTTCCAGAGTTCGTATGTTTTATTTTTAAATTTTTAATAACTTGGAAATTATTGTCAATTGGTTTCCAAATATAACATTCGATGAAGAATAATTTTAATTGTTTTAATCCGCTACTCAGCTTACTGAATATTCGTAGAACTGAAAACAAACTGGTTTAAATCCAAACTTAATCACGCCACAATGTATACTTCACAGCTATATATTTTCAAGGAAGTTTTTCTTTGTTCATTGGCCATTAATAATACATTAAATCAATAATCGTGTGAAGTGAATTGTATACTAAGGAAGAAAAAAGATAAAAATGTTGTGATAATGACATTTAAAAATTATGATAGTAATTTCCTGTACTCTTAATTAATTGGCCTTAAGAAAAACAATTTATTATAGTTAAAAAAAAAAAATTGTTTAGTGTTTTAGATGTGCACAAATTTATATCTTTCATGAATTTGCTCTATGGAACTGTCCATTGATGTGGCTTGAAGAAAGGTAAAAAAATGGCAGATCCATCATAGAAGATGAAGGCCTTCTAATGGGAATGGGCCCCCCTACAAATTTACTCCAACAAATTCCTGCTGAGGCCCAAGGGGAATTTTCACTCATGACCCAATTTGACATGTTGTTGATGCATTTGTCAGATTTCATTGCTTTATGGAACAAATTTAGGACTGGTATAATTGGTACACGCCGAAGGAAGGGAGATCTTCAGAGGCTACGGTGTGAGGTTAGTTAAAACTCTTTGGCATGTATTTGTTTGAGAATTCCTTTGACTTTGGAACCTTAATCTTCTGTGTTTTGGAGTTGATCACAAAACAGAACATAGCAAAGTCTTGATTGACAGTTACATAGTAATGATAAGATATATATGATCATGATATGATCATTTATGTCCCTGAGGCTTTCCAACGAGAGTTTTCCTAAAAATGGAAAATAATAATGTTTTTTATAAAGGTAGAGAGACACCACTCCAGACACCTATAAATGGAGAAATAAAGATAACTTTAGACTTCCAAAATACTTTTTCAACTTAGTTCTATATTTTATCAGAGTCTACAAGTGGTAAAGATAGTTTTACAGTATTTTAGCTTATTAGAATATTCTACCTGTGGTAAACTATTTCAGTGGGGAAAAAAACAGGTTCCTTCAACGTTCAGCTAGGGAGGAATTCTTCTGGAAACACAATTTATTACCATCTTAAAATTTAAGTCTGTATCCTTTTCACCAGATTATTCAATGAACTTTGCAGAACTAACAAAATTGTCCTGCCAAGGAATATTTCTGTTTTGACTCTTCATGAAGTTTGCATACATGAAGAATAACTTGAGTAGAAATGCGTGTTCTTTGCTCTTGCTCAGGCAGAAATTATCAACTCTCTTTTCACACGTATTACGGACTGTATCAGCCTCTAACAGGGAATAACTTCTCTGTCTTCTATGGTATAGAGAACACACAATACATGTCACATTTGGATATACATTTGTGAAAATATATATACCATAGCTTTGTCATTTTTTCTTGGGCGCCTGGTTTTGGCCATGGCCAAACCTAATGTAAACTGGACACTGAGAATTGCTGTTGATCCTCTGACATTATAGCGAAAAATTGTGGCCTTATAAATGAGCTCAGGAGAAAAATTGAAAAATGTTTCATTAACTTTTAGAACGATAATGGTTAAGTAGACTTACACAGAATCAATATCTTCAAAACAACTCCGTCTCTTATTACTTTATTCGTCCTCTCTGTCTAGATGGGCCTCACTCTTTTCCATCATCTATGTTCATGTTCTCTTCTAATTTAGATTCAATAATTTATGCATCAAATAATAATTTTGGCAAACACTGAGTTTTTGCTGTTCCCTAGTGACTCAGTTCAACCATTTTATTCCTTTCAATCCAGTTATAATTATTTAATGAACTGGAACACTTACAGAACCGATTTGCTAGGACAGTGCATTTCTTCTATACATTATGAGTCTTTTTGTTCAATCTTCAACTTATCAACATAATATTGTGATAAATGGCTCATGTCTCGTGTCTTCTTTTGTTGCCACAATGCATTTGCCAACAGTCACTGCAACTTTGTCACTATATCAGGATCATCTTGTTAATTGGGTCGATCCATTACAATTTTTTTGGGAAACAAAACAATCCAAATTTACATTGCAAAATAGCCAACAAAAAGTGTAATGGATTTTCATCCATCTTGCTACGGCACAATACACCATGAACGGACGACAATCAATCTTGGAGACCTGCTATGGCAAAATGCTAGAAAGAGAACAGTCACACGCAGCTTGCCGATGATTTTGAGGTACTGAATTGCGTGTAGCAGAGGTCAGAAGAGTTAGCATTGGTGTGGTCCATACTGCTTTCGCTCAAATATCTGCTGGGCAATTGCATAAAAATTTTTCCTCAGATCCTGTAAGTCTGATGCTGCCAATAAGTGTTAAATATTCTCAGAAAATGGCTTTTTTTGAAAAAGGCATCTCTTAATTTTTTAATTTATGAAGTTTAAATGTACAGAGGCAAAAATAGCTTCTGCTTTATTATAACAGTAATGCTTTGAAATTGAGTTAATGTGTTGAAGGTAGGTTAATAGTTAGATTATTATTTTGATAAATTTCTTAAAATTTTGTCAAACTTTTTCTCCATACGTATATCAATTTAGTAAAATAGCAGATTATTTAATTATATATTGTACAATTATTGGCAGTTGTTGGTCTTAATGCTTTAAGTCATAATCAATTTTAATAGGTTAAGCATATCAGTATTGTTGGAGGCAAATTAAGAGTATTGTCTAAGTGAAAGAAATTTAAATTGTTTCAAGAAAATAGTTCTTTGATATTTAGAATTTCCGGAACTGTTGTAGATGGCGCAAAAATCATTACCCCGTTTTGACCGCCAAGTTTCCCTACCCTGGTGCACATCGGCACCAATCGGCACACACATGAAACATATGCGATTTACCAGAGAACATATACAAGCAATACACTCTTGTGGCCAAGTCTGTAAGAAAAAGATCAACGACGGTGGTAGGGGTATGAATAGAAAGTAGTAGCTAAACGGACTCCCTTAGCTTCAGCGACATCATACGGTCAATAGGAGAACTTTTACGGCATTTTTCGGCCAATGGCTACTAAGTTTCTGTGTCCAGTATCTACACTTACGCTATCTACACTTACCCACAGTAAAGTGTAGACGGTAAAAGTCAAGTAGTAGTAGTATGGGCGTCGGGATTGGTCAAAAAAGCCGAGATAATTTCCTTCATTCACAACGCTATGTCACTCAAGCTAAATACGCCCTATTAGCTGCCGACGTTTTGTTTGTATACCCCCACCATGCCTCCAACACTGCATTCAGTCTATTTCTTACAGCTTGTGTCCAATGACGGCTGGGGTTGTCCCCTGCTCCACGATGTCTAGAACAGGGATACGTCCAAGCGAAAGGCACAGACCAATAAGGACTCTCTGGCAAGAACTTTTGTCAACTAACTATCGATGTAGCGCACAGTGTACGTATGTCACGTGTACTGTGATCATAGGCGTTCAGAGGATGGGGAACTTGCCCCAGAGAAGACCAACAAATCTCTTGTAGTTGGCCTCGCCCCAGGTCCGAAGTTAAGCGAAGCCCCGAAATTTTATACAAAATGCATTACCTTCAATACATTCTTTCGAAGAAAAAATATTTAACTCTAGTTGAAATATGATTCGCTTTAACATAGATTAATAAATAATGATAATGATAAGTAAAGGCCCCAGGAACTAAGAGGCCCCAATGGATCTACTGCACCAGGCTCCTTGTTTTCTCTGGGCATCCCTGATTGTATGTTTCTGCTACTATACAGTATGTCAAAACAAATATTGCGCGAGAAAAGAAATAGAAAGAATAGAAAAGTGGAATCTCTTCAACAATAGGATCTTCGATGTGCGGTCGTGAAATCCGTGTTTGAAATTATTTTAAGCGACTACTTCTCACATACGTGAGGAACAAGAGCTCGTGATGGCTGCTGGCCTGTCGGCTGGAATATCTCGCGGTATTTCTCTTCTTTCTCCGTCGTGTGAGACGCGAAATGCCGTGAGATATTCCATCGTGAAGACAAAGAAATAAAAGCCCAGGTCTACAAATTGGAATCTGCCACAAGGTGAGCCTTTGTCCCCTTGGGCTATAGTCCCACCCGACGCAGTTTGCCCAGTGAATGCCTGGGTCGTGCAGGGGCGAGCGCCTCTTCGTGCGCAGAGCAGCAGGTCACTGGCTCGACGAAGCCTCGGCGCTGGCAAGAAGGAACGCCTCGATGCCCGTGGAAGATTATTAGTAACTAGTGGAAGTCCCTTACATCACGTTGAGTGAGAAGATTGCGCACCTAGTGGACGTGCCCTGCCGGGACCAACGCCCCTTTAATGTAAAAATAGGTTGCATTTACAGTACATGTACAGAAAGTACGGCGCAATATTTTTTCTTTGGGAAAGTACTTCAACCCAATCTCAGCTTTGAAGCCGCAAAGCTATTTCATCCCGGATGAGCCTGGCCACAACAAAACAGGAAGCGGAGCGTTGAATCGCCGGAAATGCCGAGGTTAGTTTTCTCTCCTCTCGCGCTGTCCCCTATCGAGACGAATTGCCGCGTCCATCCGCGGACTGGCTCGCTTCTCCCGCGGTGCGACGCCCAGGCGGAAGGCCCAACCAGCCTTCGACTTCTTTAGGTAAATCTGTGCCGGCTGAAGCAGCAAAGGCCACTCATATTTGGGCGAAATTGAAAATATTAGTTACAATTCGATCCAAATTATTGTTTTAAACTTTTTGTACGGATAGAGCCCAAATACACTGAACAATATGTCAGAGCTATTTTAACTGAAACTTTCTGTTTTCCAAAAATTAATTACACTTATTTTAATATCTCTCAATCAGTATTTTTAATGCATTGAATTTGTGAGAACAAGTGTTTCAAATAATGTCTTATGAAGTTCCACGAAATCTCTAAAGGTTTAAGGTCAAAATTTCGTATATTTCAGAAACGCTAAATGACTTTCTTTCAAAACGGCTCCATAACTTGCTTAACCGTCGTGCGATATTTCCTTGGGAAAACACGCAAGCCGGCGGGGAGGTCGGCGCCGGATGTCGCGATGCAGCAGGGGACGACTACTATTACGCCTCTCGCGAAAAAACTTGCACTACACTTAGGGAACCAATGGCTTTAGCGTTTACCGCACCCGGAATCACTAGCAATCAATTCTAGCAAGCGATTGATCGGATGCGTTTTATCCTAGAAGGATGGAGGGGAAAGTCGTGAATGAACCAAATCTCTAAAATATATTTTCTTTTCACAAGAACATCTACAACTTGATTGGTGGTGCTGGATATCTGCACTCTCCTTTGAGCATTATCATCGAAATGGATGCGAGGTATGTCATGAATATCTAATATTTTTTGACTTGTTGCACATTCGACAGATATCACGTATAATTTTTCTCTAAAGGTCAGGTCAATTTAATAGATCTTACTAAATATTTTAATTGAATTTGGTTTTCAGAATGTTGAACGGCTCTTTTTCATTTAATTCACATAATGGATTTTATTTCAAAACCATTTGTTACGATATCGTAGTTCGTTGCCTTGCGATAACATCCTAGATTTCGAAGGTGTCGTCTGTGAGACGCAACTAATGACGAAAGCTTCTCCCACCCCCATTTCTGAAACTCTGTTCCTATACTGAGCAACTAGCCAGTGAAACCCACGAATCGCGGTGCTCACGCCTTTTCCGGTACCCGCTATTTTAACACGCGTCGTCCAGTAGGATACGCCTTTGTAGTTACGTCAGCGACTTTTTGGCGCTGTAGCTGTATATAATGAATGCACACTTCTTATCTTTTAACATTTACGTTTTGTTCTGATGATTTAGAAATCATAATGGGACGATGACGATCATAACAAAAGTCGCATGACAAGGTACTTACGAAGTTGCTGCTCAAAAGCTGTGTGTGTGCAGTACCAAGCGCCTGCTGTGATGGTGAAGTCATTTCGATCTACCTATAAAAACGTATTCTGTAACTCCATAACATACTTATTCAATACATTAAATTTAATTTTTCATTACAAAAATGAATTTTTCTCTATTTTTACATAACAGTATGTCAGACTACGCCTTTGTAATCTAGGGTTAAGAGCGTGAATGGTGCAGAGTTCTACAGAGTACTATTCAGTTTAGTATTATAGAGTATAGTACTCTTTGGAACCGTGCACTGTCTGGGAGAGCACCTGACATTGGTAAGAGCGATTGTTGGACGCTCTTTAATTACAAAATGATTTCGCGTTCATCGATATTGCTGCAATCTTGAATATTGCATCTAATTAAAAGGAAAACGTACATTCCTAACTCCGTAAGATTTTTTTCGATTATCTGGGAGTTGTGCAACAGTGCAACTTTAGCATGAGCCGCCATTAATTGACATACAAGATAGTAGATTTACACTAAGAAGGCATGAATCACACCTAGAGTTCCTTTATTACGTTGCACCTTGTGCTACCTGTAAACTTCAAAAATTAAGAATAACTGAAAAGATTTAGGTGCATAATTCAAATGCATTGTGCTTCTAGATTGTACCTCTTACAGATGGATGCAGATGGAGCAGTAGTGCAACTGGTAGGCCTATTCAAAGAAATGACAACCCTAGACTCATCACAAACACAGGGTTTTCGACTCTAGCTACAGAGTCTGGCCGCATGGAGCCGCTAGGTCGCGTTGGAGATGAAATCTATCGGCCGACTGCCCTGATGGGTAGTTTTCCGTGATTTCGCCCATCAACACCAGGCGAATCCCGTAGTTGTAGCCAAACAAACAGACCGCGCGCGATCTTTGCTATCTCTTCCTTGTCTTATTCCTCACTCCTTACTTTCACATACACTTGCATACTCTGCACTGCCAAACATGTCGGGAGATTGTTGAGGCGAGCTGGGAGCTAGAGCTAGTGCGCCGCTGGCGGCACGGAGCTGGGCAGCCGACGTGTCGGTCGGCGCGGAATCTCGCCATACAGCGGGGGAGAACACCGCCCCTCCCCTGACAAAGACGTGGCCATAACAGCTGACGAGCTCGGAAACATGAAATGACCAATCAATCAATAGAGGGTCTTTTGCTGGCCTCCTATTCGTTACGTAACATAAATATACTCTAAATTAATCATCACTACAATGTATCGAGAAACATTATCAAAAGCTGGATAACTAAAGGTGCTGACTGGTGGCCGAAACTAAGGAAAGTGGAGGGAATCGTCAGACGCAATTGAAGCCCAAGTATCCGGAGAAATCAACGAGCTCGAATATACTACATAGAGTGGCTGTCCATATAGTTTCAGAGCTCTTGGTGGAGGCCTTCCGAACTAGTGGCCGTCTTGTTCTTTGAAGTCAAAACATACGAGTGGCGGTGTAACCGTCCGTAACCAGCGCCAAACGTAATGCTAGAATATTTTGTTTCCCAGAGGGCGCTGCTTTGACTGCAAACAACATGGCTTCAATTTCCTTCAAAGATGGAGGCGCTGAAGCCACTCTATGTAATATATTCTAGCTCGTCAGGAGAAACAAAATAGTGTTCTAAACCAAGGGCGTGGGCGACTAACAATACACCTAATAAAGAAAGTAAATAGACATGAAAGAAGTTTATTGGAAACTCACTCAAGTATTTTATGTAAAACTTGTATTTCCATTGCAAAGTGATGTTTTCATCAGTTTAAAGTTCAAGAATAACCTCTATGTTTTCCTAATTCCTTATCCATAATAAGGAGGGGGCCTCGAAGTTCTAGATACCCTTGAAACTTGGGTCACTTTAAGTATTTTTAAATCGAACTACAAAGTTGAAACATGAAATAGAAAATTATGCAACAATTACTACAGATAAATAAATAAATTGGCTTTGGATTAGAGCCCAAAAAGATACGAATTCCCTCCACCAAAGTAGAAAAACACGCCAAGAAAGAAAGTGGCTCATGATTCAAGGGTTTCCACTTGATGCAAGTATGCGTTATTTTCCGCAACGAGGCTCAGGCCATCGGCTGCTGTTCCGCCTGAGCACGCACATTCCGCTGCGCTTCCGCGGGCGACGAAGCTGGCGATTTGAATCTAGTTCAGAGGTTTCTTTTAGGCTCGAGGGTCTTTTACATGCAATACACCTACGTCATGGAACATACGGCGTTACTTTCCCTCCGAAGGAAGACATGCGAAGGATAAATATGCTCCTATCGCTTTTGAACCCCCGGTATAGCATTCCTCTACCTAACAGTTTAACAACCGAAGCCATGTGTCTCCCCTCCACGCAATGATCCTGAATAAGTAAGTATCCAGGAAACAAATCAAAAAATATCCCGAAGTCAGTCAAATATCAATACCCGGATATCAATCACTCACTCATTATTAACATTCCGAAATCAATTATGCATATCAATACCCTGAAATATATTAGTCAATCAATCATCAATACTCCGAAATGAATCAATCATGAATATCCCAAAATCAAACATCAATGTCCCAAATTCAGTCCATCACAAAACCCAATTATCAACGCCCCGAAACCAACGAGTGAGTGCGGTGCCTGTCCGTGCGCAGGGCGTTGGCGTGGGCGTGTGTGCTGGTGCTGGGGGCGGCGGGGGCGGCCAAGACGCCGAAGGAGCCACTGCCCTACCTCAACAACTCCCAGTGCGAGCAGTGCGAGCCCTGCCAGGCGTGCCAACCCTGCGCGTCGTGCGTCCAGCGCCCGTGCCCGGCCCCCGCCCCCGCGCCCCCGCCCCCGCCCTGCCGCACGCCCTGGGCGCTGGTCGCCAAGTACAGGAGCCACCCGGGCATCGGCGTCTACCGGCTGCACACGCAGCGCGCCACGTGGACCGAAGCCCAGAAGATTTGCGAGGCGGACGGCACGCACCTCGCCGTCATCAACTCGCAGGTTCGTTTTCTCCTTATCCTCATTCGTTCGCGTGCATCCCGGTCAGGTTAAGCACTGAATAGATGCTCTCTATTACACATACACTCTTCACACGTTTTATCTTCAATATCTGAACGCAAGACGTGTACCCGTTTATACATTCTTAACCATATTTTATACGTACTTCCGGCAATGGTGACTCAGGGCATCACTAATGTCACTGCAGTGCTTCTGGTCGGGAGGACGTAGGTTCGAGTCCCGACAGTGGCATGGTTATCGACGCTAGCTAGGTCGAACGCTAGCGGCCGGTTGTTCTCGTCAGTAGCTTTCCGTTGTTTCTCCGATCAACACCAGGCGAATGCGAAGCACTTTCCTAACAAACGAGGCGCGAACTGCGCGCGACCCTTCTCATTCCTCGTCCTTCACCTCAGCTCTCCCTTAGCAGCACACGCGGACACGCCCTTCACCATCACGCCGAGCACGGGAGCTGCGAGCTCTGAGCTCTTTGATGGGGCGACACCGCGCGGTGGAAGGTGACGCAGATCGGCGCCGGCGATGAAAACATCACTGCACCGCCAAGGACAGGAAGCACACGTCCATCAATCGTTCCATATTTATCCGTACTATTAGTAGGGAGAGGGAATCAGGGAGTGGGGTAACTCCTACCAATACAGCCAGGTGGCAGCCACAACATTCAGGCGAACTTCAACCATCTTAATGCTTAAAGTGCAGGGAATATCATCGAAGTTGAACGCATCCCAACAAGTCTTGCGAGAACCCGTTGCTGTGCGCTTTGACGGGGTGCCTGGCGCGGCGGAGTCGCGAGCTGACGGGCGAAGGCTACGTGTTCGTGTCCCGCGCAGGGCGCCGCTGTCGCTCACCGCCTCCCCACCAGCAGCGGAGTCCTCTGCACGCTTCCGCTACTTGCTAGTGTTGCCATGGAGAGTATGATGTGTTAAGCTATCGTATTGCCATTCTATCCCCAAACGTGAGCACCTAGGCTCATGATGAGTTTCTTCACCCCCCACCCCCACCCCGGGCGTACAAGAGCTGCTCAGCCCCGACACTGGTCGTTACCCCCAGCTCAGGGCTGTCCAGCTGGCGGCCCGAGGTGCCGTTTATTGTAGACCGTGAAAGGTTATTAGTAGGGGGGATTTTAATGAAATGTCTTGTTTCTTTCTTTTCGCTTTAGAACGATGCCGTTTAGTATAGATATTCATTTTATGTTATTATAAAACGATATGGACCATTCTTATAAGTAACGTTTTTTGCATTTTTCGTCGATTTCGACTAATTCATCGTTTTTACCTTTTCCCATCACTTTTAAAGCGTGTTTCGCCCATTTAATTGACTTTGAATATAATTTCAGTGGTACTTGCTTCAAACAAGATTTACGATGTGTAGCAAATGTTCTCCACAATATTCATTAGTAGCCTATTCGATTTCTTCGCTCAGATACTGTAATGTCAGTTGTTTAGATTACTATCTAAGATAATCTTAGGTTCCTGCGACGTCTCTCTGCGCCATTGTCAGTTCGGCCGATATCGCGATAAATAAAGGCAGAGATTTTCTTGTAAAGAACAGTCCAAACCCAAAGTTTCCCAGCTCAGTTCACTTGAACAAAAGGAAGAAGCCTCTATTACATTGGTAATATGCAACATCTTAGTTGTTCCTATGAAGTGGTTTTGATAAAAGTATTTACGTCATTTTTCTTTGTTTATGACATTATTAAAACACTTAATTATTTTGGACAATATTTTCGGCCATCAAAACCCGTCCTCTAGTTGTTGTCGCAGTGCAAGTCGCAGCCCGCCACATCGAGCGACAACACTGCGCCTAGCGCAGGCGCCCTGCCGAGGCCCTACATCGATTTTAGATTTAAAGAGTTTTTCTAGTGAACACAGCAGTTCAATCATCCCAAAGTATGAACCCTGATATAACGCGCGGTTCTTTCACCTCCCTCCCGTTTCAGAGCAGCGAGGCAAACTGACGAGATCAGCAATGCGCGAGAGTCAGATGTGTGTCACCCGAATAATGACATATTAAACGTTGTGGTTGTGGCCCTTGGGGATGAACTGACGAGTTTTAGCTCACTTACGACTGATATTTGTTAAAGTAACAGAAATGCAATTTGAACGCCAACAGCGTAGAATAATCGGCTTGCGCGCAGGCTGAAGCCGACCTCTTCAAGAAGTTCTACCAGGAGGCTCGCATCTCGGACTGGTTCTTTCTGGGATTCAGCAGAGGCAAGGACGGGAAATTCTACACGGTTCAAGGTAAGAGACTTTCTCGTACTAGTTAATTTTCTAATTTCTTTGGCCTGGCCTAGTTTTTCTGACTTGCCACATACTATACTTTTGCCAGCTGCCATCTAACGCCGCCCAAAGTACATTAAAAAAATCTCAATTTGTCCGTTTCCTAACATAGCATTGAAACATTACTTTAAGAATATTAAAACATCGTCCTAAATGGCGGGAACTTTGAGTTGGGTTCAGTAGATTCGTAACACGCTACACCACCACAACGAATATTGTGGCCCGAACTGAAATTTATCGCTGCTTAAATAGTTAGTAGTTCCTTGCAACTTACGCACTACGCAATTTTCTAAAATTCAAGGAATTGAACAAAAATAAGGCGCGCGCCTGTTTCAACGTCCATTACTTCGTCCGAGACGGGCGACTGTGGGCGAGGGGTTGGCTTACTGGCCTCTGAACCCCCTCTGCGCGGGTTCAATCTCAGCCGAGGTGCCCGGATTTTCGAAGGGCGAAAAAATTACTCTAGCCTTATCACTCCTGTGGCATGTAAAATACCCCTGGCGGTAGGCCCGGCAAGATTAAATCTCTCCCACATCCCGCTCTCACTAGATCTCATCTTCCGCCAACCCGACAGCTCGGATGTAGGTGACTGAAATAGTGCAATCGCCCGCGAGGTGCAATCGCCAGCCCCGCGTCGGGGGAGCTGCCCGCAAACGTCGCTTGCCCCGCAGGGCGCCCGCTGTCGAGCGCGGGCTACGCGCGCTGGGGCGCCAACGAGCCCAACAACGCCAACGGCAGCGAGCACTGCGGCTTCATGCTGGCCAGCGGGCTGCTGGCGGACGGCTGGTGCGACGCGCGCCTCGCCTTCATCTGCGAGGCGCCGCTCTAGGCGATCCACTGAACTACGCTTCGACTCGCTTTTTCTTCGACTTTTAGCTCGATTATTTTCATGCAAATATTATGTTTCAAGACTAGCTAGCAAAATATGAAAGTACATCTCTGCTTTTCAACTTGAGGAATGCATTTGCTTGTCTACATTATGGAGACACACTTTCGCCATTAATTTCATGTTGGTAAAACTAATAATATGGAAAATCACTCTGAATGTTCTAATATTTTAGTGATTGTGTTATATTCGGTATGGAATAAGAAATAGACAGAAGAATCAGTTTTCCTATAATCATCCTAAACCAAGTGCATCATTAAGTTACAATTGTTGGTGTAATTGTATAAAAATATATTAGTTTATATTAGGATATAACATTGGTTATCTTGTAATGATCTTAGCTTAGTCCAAACATTTATCTTTTAGGCTATTATTGTAGAGAAATTCTATTGCCATTTTAACTTTTAACTGATACAGTCGTTTCTCATGAGTACGTGTGTGAAATGAATATTAATAAAAATAAACAAATATTATTAATTTATTTATTTATCTCAAAAATAATTAAAAACTGTGTGACAAGGGATGAAGCCAAGTTTATTTGCAGTTAGATTCGTGCCCAGAAGCAAAACAAGGTGCCATCTCAGTATTTCCTCAAGGATCATGGATACTGGACGAAAACAGGGGGTTCATTGACCCACAAGCTGAAGTACAATATTTGTTACAGGTTCTCTAGAATTATACAATCAAAATGGTAAATGATATATTAAATGTCATAGTTAAAATTAATATTACTTTTCTTTTGGATGCTCGGTATAGTCTCTAAGTGTATAGAAAGTTATGCAACAGAAAAGATTTTACTTGGGACTTTTGTATCGAATTTAATCGTTTAATGTCATCTGGCAAAGAGTTGTAAAATAATGTACATGCATTGTACGTGAAGTTTTTAGTGATGAGCTGTTGATAAAGTCACCTGATGAATATGATTACTACGTCAACTGTTGTGGTTATCGATATCGGCATATACCGAAAACATATTCCCGCCCTTAAGTAAGTCATTTTTCACAAAAACCACTGATTCATATATCAATAGACAAGGTAGTGGTAAAATACCTAGATTAATAAAGAGAGGGTTACATGAATCACGTGGGTAGAATTTTCTTATTAGTCGTACAATTCATTTTGTAATCTAAGAGTCTGGGAGCTATAAGATGCATTTTGCTAAATTGTGCCATATCTCAGAGAATGAACATTCGCGAAATATACACGAGCAGTATGTAGGCTGACTGAATTTGAAAGAAGATTCTGAAAGAGTAGCATAAAAAAAACTTAATTTAGTGTTCATTTATTTATATGAACTTACTTATTAATTTATATGAACATAAATAACTTAATTTACGGTTCAATTCATTTATATGGACGTTTCATTTAAGGTTTGACTGAATTGAAAGACCTAAAAATGTTGTTTCCTTAATATCAGTTAATGGCACACCGTTCATTTTCAGTGAAGAGTCGAGCAGTTTATTTGAAATGGAAAACTGCATTGAAACCGTTTTATTTTCATTGACTATTAATTTGTTATTATGGAACCAATATGAAATACGTGATATTTTACTATTTTAGGTTTCTTTGTTGTAAAGAATATTTTTAAAATTTGCAAACAGAACTGTTCTTCCGTTTCTAATCATCAAGGACATATCGTTTACCTATAGTAGGAAAAGAATAGGATCAATCCCTGCGAGACTCCACGTGCAATTGGCAAAGCAACAGAAAGGTATGTACAAAATGTTCCATTATTCCAGTAAGGTATTTCTACTCCCTGAGATCGTTGTGTAAGGTACGAACATAGCCAATCTAGAGGAATATCAAGAATTCCATACGAAGTTATTTTGAAAGTAAAATGTTATGATCAATTACCTCAAAAGTTTTTGAAAGATCTAAAAATTTTCCAATAGGTCCTAAGTTTTGATTTATGGATGAGGCGACAATTAAATCGCGCCTAGCTTAAAAATCTACTAAACAATTAATTAATTTACAAATTAAAAATTAACGATTTTATGCATTTAAAACTTGTGAAAAACTAATCGAGGCATGTTAATGCAATAAAAAATCGATTATTATTTAATAATCCCCATCCCTAGTGCTGACACGCACACACAGATGCTAGTGCCAAACTCAGAGAGAGGCCAAACTAGGGGAGTATCGCGGCTTCCGGCTGGTCGACGGCTGGAACATCCTGCATCATATAACATTTCATAATAAAGTTTATGCAATATTCCTCTCACTTTCATTACCTGCAAAGCGAAAGGTTTGTAACACATACAGTGCTTTTCTGTTCGTATTTGAAGTTATTGTACAATAAATTTCCAAAATAAATGTAAATAATTTAACTGAAATGGTGCATGGAGTTTTAAAACATCTTTAATGTTTTACTTGGGTGAGCATTGCAAACAAATAAATGCCTTTGTTGGTGGCGAGGTGCAGGCCGTTTGCCCTGCTCTTCCGCTTGACCACTTTCAAAAGTACCTATAATGCACATAATAAAAAGAAGGCCATTCAAAGAAAATACCTACGCAATTAAGGGGAAGAATTTCTCACAAGAGTGACAGGGCTGAAAACGCAGGAGAGGGTTGCTAGAAAAGAACCTCACAGCATTTGTGTCATAATATTTATTAAATTCAAGTAAGAAATGAATTAAAAATTAAACAGAAATAAATTATTACACTTGAAGAAACTTCGATATTTTACCCAAACCTAGACAAATTATCTTTGTGAGATTCAGCAAGTTGGGAGAGGGTGAAAAGGTATAGCGAAATGTAAAATTCGCAACACACGAATCTCCTCTCATTTACTGTTTTCGTTTGCGTACATTCAATAAATCCGAATAATTGCGATAGTTTCGAAATACATATATTGAAATCTTTGGCTTGTAGTAATGTCTAAATTATGTTTTTACTGCTTAAATGTAAGATTAAATAAATGACTCGTTCACAAAGTTTTAATCAATTTACTCGAGGACAAACCCCCAATTTGAATATTTCCAATCAATCATATAAGTCAATGGACTTGCTTAACAAGAAATGATTCACAAGCTTTTGTGATTATCAGCTCTAACACTCATCATTTTTATTGAGAATTTGCGACATTCCGCAGTTGCTTTTTGGAAACAGCCATTAAAACATTGTCAAGGGAGGGTTGCAGGTGAAACTAATGCTCGCGAATTTACCTTGCAATCAATATTAAATTATCAGCATTAGTAGCAGCGATGATTAAGACGTAATTTGACTGTCGACTACTAGTTCAGTGAAATACTGCCCAAAAAGGACAAATACAGAAAGTTTTGGAGTAGTTTTGGTTTCTATGTGTTTTGTGGTCGCTAAAATCGAATATCTGGTTTACCAACAATAATTTTGTCTGTAACAAGTTTTTAAGTAGAAAGTGAGTTAAAATCCCTAACTCTCTCAGTTTTATCAAATTAATGAATGTATATTTTCCCTAAATGATAACACTATTCCTAACTACAAAATTGAAGATATATTTTTGACTCAGACTTGGTCTGTTATAGAAAACCAGGTCTTCAGAGAAGGTAATGTAGAATATTTTGTAAAGTTAGTAGTTTTCGTGTAATTTCACTTTGAAATTAATGAAACATACAGGGGTGTGCCATTGTATGTAACAATAATATTGTAATATTGCGAGAATGTATGTGCTGTTGTAGCACTAGTTTTGCAAATGTTGATGCACACAGTCTGCTCGAATCAACTCAACACCCCCCACCATGTTATAATCAGACTCTCTTGTATTACCTTGCCGTTTGCTCTTCCTAACACAATCTAACTCAACATATTAATGCATTAATTTATATTATCCAATCACGTATTCAACCCTATTTCAATTCTTCTAGCCCTCATTTCTATGCACAAGGATATTGAAATGTTAAAAAATCTAACTTTGTAAAAATTGACTTTTTGGGAATTCTTTCTATTTTTTTTATTTTCTGTTTTTCAAAACATAACATTGATGAGGCAACTCGTCAACTATAACTGAAACCAACTTCACCCCAAGACATGAGGGTTTCCATGTCCCAGAATACAATTTTCAGATCTAAGCAACCTCCAGTTAAGGCAGCCAGAGGCAGCAATAATTATTAAAAAGAAAATTCTCCACGATCAACTATCTTAGTCAGTCACTCCAGACCTAGAAAATTTTGTAATAGTGATACGGTATGGGTACATTTTTTCCATATAGTTTCCATCGATACTGTAATAGTGTTACAATTTGTTAATTTAATACCAATTATAAAAATGTAATATACTAATAATTTACTTGGAATGTTGAATTTTTATGAAAATACAAGAAAGAAATGAATGAATGAAAAAAACCACTCTCCATTCAAATTAAAAATTTAAATAACCCTCAAAAAATTGCTAGTTGATTTTTCCCATACAACCATTTACATTTACAATCATAGAACAGCAATTCTCAAAAAGTATGACCACATTCACCACATACGAATGGGTCTTAAAGTTTTTTGCAAATTTCTCAAAATCATTTATGGAGGATGTAGGCAGACTTGCAAGTGGACGCTTCAGTTCTACTTCCAACCATATAACGTCACTCATTCAGGTTTTCTCCTTTTTAGGGCTGTGTCACACAAGTGTTCTGTTGACGTGTCATAAATTAACACTATCTTTTCCGGAACGGCCAAAGCGTTCGTGTGCAGACTCGCATAAGATAGTGTTATTCCATAAAGCATATCAACGCAAGACTCGTATGCCAGGGCTCTTAGAATAACAAATAGATTCACAAAGATTGCTGCTTTTCTGGAATACTAAGGTTATTAAAAAAAAAAAAAAAAAAAAAAAAAAAAAAAAAAAAAAAAAAAAAAAAAAAAAAAAATCGAGTAATTTATTTTTCCCATGTCATTTGCTTTCCATTAATTGAAGATCAATAATATTGTCTTGCAAATTATATCAAAAAATACTTATTTATATTTGTTTTTTAATGGAACTTGTAATTTATTAAAATGGAATTTTGTAAACTCTAAATTTTTGAGTTATTTTGGAGACTTTTTGCATTGCAACATCAAAATACCCTAGTAATTTGAGTGCAAGTTATTTCAAGCACTTGAAACACAGTGTCTTCCTGAAAACATTCACAAAAGTAATGGTAAAATTCTACACAATACTACAACAAAAATTGCAAGTTATCTCTTCTGTGCTTCGTCAAGATCTTCGTAGTTACAACATTAATCCATAACAGAAAATGTTGCTCTCTCCTCATTAAGTAGCTGCCTCCTAAGGGCAATTGATATAGTTTCAGAGATAAAGATGTATTCCTCATAAAAAGTTATTTTTAACACCTCTCACTTTAAAATCCTAATTTTTGCTTTTTGGATTTACAACAGTATTCCAGAAGAGGGACAATATGTTTTGAGAGATCTTCCTCCAAATCAGCAACTCTCCTGTATTAAAGTAAAAAGACTAATTCTTACCAAAATAATTGTCTCCAGGTATAGGTTTGTTTTTCAATTATGACAGGGAATTTAACATGAAAATAACTTTTGAATCATACACTAAAAGAACAGTATTTATTTGTGACATTTAACAAAAATAAACATTACATCAAGCGTAAATATACAATTATATTGACACATTTGTGCTTCAGGTTATGTACAATCATTTAAACAGTAGTTTACATTTAATCTGTACAATTATTTAGACTATCACAGATGTACATTAACACTTTTATAAAAATTCATGTAACTAATTTGTACAGAAAATAGTGTTCATTGATTATTATTAGCTGGAAAAATTCTAGAAATATAATAGAAAATTTTCAAGATTTTTAAAAATGGTTTCACAATAATTTCTGAGTTTACCTTGTATCTGAAAGGAAAGAATTCAATAATTTTAAAATTCTTTTCTTTTGGACTAGACGTCCACTCTCTCTCTCTGTAATTATGTACAAAAATCTGCAAGAATGCTATTCATCACACACCACAAAATCCAAGCTTAATGATTATATTTGTATGATGAATTGCATACTTAATTAGGAAATAAAACCTACAGAAATATACTACACACCATATACTAAAATTACAATAAATAGTCGAAATACAAAACACACAAATGGTAATTCTCTTCAGAATATTCCAGAAGAGATGGGTTGTATCACTTACGCTTCTCATGCATCTGGTCACACACATTTTCAGTACATAAATATCCCTTCTACATATCATTCACAAGATAAGACTGAGAAAACATTCTACCCAAGGAGCTGCCTGTACATTAGTAGAATTCTGAGTTAAAAATAAGAGAAAAATTCTCTTAAGAAATTACAATTCTCAAAATCATTTTGCTTAAAATAGCATATTTATTAAATTACTAATACTTTCTCCCTATCACTGATATGAAATTAATGTTCCTGACAATCAGTTCCTTACATATAATTCTTTGTACAAATACATATAGATGGGCATATAAATAGACACAGGGAAAATATAATACTTTAAGTAGGGTTACAACACTAATAAAATAGTGACAAACACATGAACAAACATGCACAGTGGCAGAACTTATTTCTGCACAATCTTTTATAAAAACATTATTACAGAACCCCACCAAGTAATCTTTCAATACTGGGATTTTAAGGTTCACATACTGAAACCACCACACATGAATTAACAAATACAATTTCAGAGGGAAATAACGTTCCAATAAATATTGTTTCACATTATTATTGATGATATTATTGTTTCAATGCATTCAAAAACATGCATTTTCTCATGAGAATCAAACCCCATAAACATTATGTCCATCTGAGCATGTCATTTTATTCCACTGTGTTAAAACATGTGAAGTAGCACAGTTCTGATATGACTTAAAAAGTTGGCTGAGCACAACTTTTTAACCATTTTAAAAATATTACAAAATTTAAGCCTCTCTACGCATAACCCTCTTTTCATTTCCAAAATAAGAGTGTTACTCACTTCAAAGATTATCACATCAGTTCAGGAGAATTTCCATGCAATAGATCTATGCACATCACCAAATATAACAATTATTTTCTCTTTTGAGATACTTACACATTTAACTTTCATTTGCTAGCCTTCATTCATTTCATTACCAACTTGGCATATGAAAATAAAAAATATGTTCTCCTTAAAATTCATTCAAAAAATTATGCTGGGTTCAATGGATGCTTTTTACTGTCTTGCTATCAAGTCTGCAACGTACAAATTGGTTGTTTGTGATGGATTTTGATAAGGTTTTGGGTAAATATGAACATGACACCTTTCTAAAGAGGAAGATGAAAATCATTCTATAGTTCAAATTGGTTCACACTTCTTCTGTGAGGAATTTGATAAACAATTAAGAGAAATATAAGCAATTTCAAATACTTACATGAAAATTGAGGCTCAAGGGTTTATTAAGAAAGCATTTACAGTTTTAATAGCAAGACTAACATCAAATACAAATCCCACACAGCATATTTCTTTTACTACAGAAGTCTATTCATAATAAATGTCAATCTACTCTGCTTGGCTGAGCTGAAAATGTTTTGCAACAAAGTTACAAATATGTATTCCAACTAAGGCCCCTCTTACAACAGTCGATGAAATATTAACAATAATTTTCAGCAATTCTTTTTCCATAAAATACTGAGCTTAAGTAGTAATATTTGAATAATATGCTTTGGTAAAATTAATTCATCCATATTTATGGACACTTAGTAAATCTGAGATCTTCAGTGTATAGAAAAGGCAGAAGATAAATGTGCTTAGAGCACAATGCGCAATTTATAGTCCCAAAAGGCACAGCAGTCACTACTAGGGGATTTATGCTGCTGAAGCAAATGCCAACATATGAACATGTTAATAGTAAGAGGCATTTATAGTCACACAGTGAAGGATAAAATGTTTAATACACTTACGTCAAATTTTGGCAACATTTTTATCTTTAAGAAATTCTGACATGCCAATACTGAAGTTCAAAGCTTAGGAAACCTATCACACGTTACCATCACACTCTGAGCAACTCTGGACCACCTCAGAAGAAGAAATGCAGAAAAGGGACAGAAATTCTGTCACACCCCAGGTACATGGAAATGAAGTTCTTACCTTAAGAACAACAGTCTTGTAAAGCACCCTGCTAGACCTGCCAACATAAGGAAAAAGAAAATAGTGATACAATTCGTTCTGAAAAAGATTTTTACAATAAACAGGTCTATACCTAGGTCCACTATTCTTGTTAGTTTATGTAACAGACTTCAGATTGCACTACATGATTGTAAGTTTTTACTCTTTACTGATGACTTTAAAATCTTTAATGAAATAAAATATCTGAATAATTGCAACAAATTACAAGATTGATTTAATATATTACTTTGATAACTACTATCTTTAAACATTTTAAAAAGTAATGTTACTTATCCTGTAATGTAATTTACCCATTACTTATCCTTATTCTAACAAAATTTTAAATGTTTAAGAGGTTTTTGAATACAAAGATGTAGGAGTTGTTTGATTCCACTTTAAAATATAAGTACAGACAATGTATTTTTAAAAAGAAAAATTCAACACATGGCATCTTCAGAAGAATGTCAAGTGATTTTAAAGAGGCATTCCAGCTTAAAAAATCTTATATATGTCCCTAATGAGATCAATTCTTTTCTGAGCCTCCCTCCTCCTTTACCCAATTTTTTTATTTACTCATTAAAACTTGAATCAGTCAACTCAAATTCTTTAGTCTGGAAAATATATTTACCATCACCCAGAATTTCTCATAATTATTCCTGTATTTCTAGCTTACTGATCATTAGCCTACTACAGTTTTACAGAAAATTTAATGATTTAATGTTTTTGTACAAACCATTATGCAAACTGGTTTCTAAATGTAATGCTTTCTGTTTTGTAAATCTAACAAACTGATTTCAGGGTGTATGCTGTCCTAAAATTGTATTCCCTGTATTTTCCTTGCGGTTTCCTCCGATTCCTTAGGCTTAAAGTTTTTACATAGGTTAGAAAGATCAAAAAAAGTGTCTAAAGTGAATTCAAGTGAAATGATTTGAACAATGAATCTAACATAAAATAGGAAGTTTTCCACTATTTTCTGACTGTAAATCCTCCCCAGCTCCCCAGAACCCAATCAAACAATTTTTATTTTTCAGTGTAAATTTTTGATAAATTTTGTTCAAAATTTTAAAAAATGAATTTCTTTCTAATATTTGGATGAAACATTTCCAGGAATGTCAACTGCTATGGTCATGAATTCTCTTAGTGTAGTGAATGCTTTTTGGCCTGAAGGCAGCAGGGTTCCTACCCTACTGGATCGTGAGTTTCATTATCCCACACCAGCTGGGCTCTGTCCCATCCGGGACAAACTTTACACTCCCAATGTGAGGTAGTGTTTGTAAGTGTAAGAAGGGTTGCAGTTAGATCAAGGAAGAGGAGGGAAGGATCACAAGCTGCCTGTAATCTGTTTATTAGAGTTCTGCTGTGGCATTCGCCTGGGTGTTAATCGGAAAACTATTGATCAGAGCAGTGGGCTGCTACAATTCTCCTCTAGACAACAGCAGAATTCTTTGGCCGAGCTATATGGTTAGAGTTGAAAATCCAGCCACTGTCGGGACTCAAACCCTGATACCTCTCCATCAGAGGCACAGTAGTGACATCAGTTGATGCCTTGAGCCACTTCAGTCGGTTCTGAATTCAGGTACACAACTGTTTCTTAATACACCAGTAATAGCAGAACTTAATTAAATTTTTGTGATTCAATTCAAAATTAATTGAAAATAAATATTATTTCAAATTTCTCGTGCCAGAACTCTCACATGTAAATCCACACCCTTTCCTTATCCTATCCAATAAGAAGAAAAGTTATTAACGAAACATGTATATTTGTTAAAAAATGTATAAATGGAATTTCATATTTACACAATATCAAACATAAATAAAAACCATCGAATTGATGTTGAAAACAAAATTCCAATAAAGGTTTATTTAGTATTATAGAGATATGTTCTTCCAACAATTCACATATCCTTAAGAACAAACATTTGAAGTTCCTTGACAATTAACTTTTTGCTTTCCTTGATAGTCACAAAAATATTAGAAAAGGTTTTTAATCTTGAGAAAGCCAAGTAAAAGTTTTCTGTGCAAAAATACACGTTTGGGCAAGTACAAACCTACTCTTTGCAATATTATTTAACTTTCCCGGATTAGTTCTGCAGAATAGAGAGGGTTTTGAAGGACCAGGGCGCCAGCTTGCTGCAGTACGGAAATTGAAAATTCATTTATATACAAAAAAATATTGGATTATTTTCAGCATTCTTACATACCTCAAGAAAAGCAATTCTGAGCCAAAAAATAATAAAACTGATATTTTCCCCTTTGAGTAATAAATACCGTTAGTTACCTAAAAAAAAAGAAAGAAAAGAAAAGAAAAGAAAAGAAAAGAAAAGAAAAGGAAAGAAAAGAAAAGAAAAGAAAAGAAAAGAAAAGAGGTCTGTAGTTTTAGACTTCAGTGAAGTCTTCAGTACATGAGAGAGTTGCTCTAACGACATTTGCGTATTAAATATCTTAGCGAATTGTCACCTTAAGTTTAATAACCAACTGTGTATTATTTACAATACGAGTTAACAGCAGGGCATTGATCTTCAGACTTCCAAATACCACCAACATTTAAACCGTGCGTTTGGATTGTATTCATTGCCAGTTATTGAATGACATTCTTTCTATATTTTTATATTTGGTTGCTTATTAAAATTAATTCATGTAGTATTGTAAATTAGCACATTTTGATTTTTATTGTCCATTTATTTCAAACAATGTTACTTTAGTAAATTTGTTCTTTGTATTGAACAAGTTTACCCCTAATATCCCTTCCGAGAAATCTCACATGTTAAACACCTCACTCCATTCTTCCATTCTAAGAGGGAAAGTTGTTAAGGAAACATATAATTGTTTAAAAATGTATAAAGGTAACTTCTATTGTATTCATACAATTAAAATAAAAGAACAATGCAATTGATGTGGAAAATAAATTTTTACTAAAGATTGATTCAGTCATTGAAAGATTTCGTGGAACAATTCACAACACTCCTTTAAAAATATTTGAAGTAATTATTCAATAATCTTTGACAGTTAGCTTTTCATCGCAAAAGATGATTTCGATAGTCATAAAAATATTTAAAAAGCTCTTTACTCTTGAGTAAGCCACGTAACTGAACACACTTATTAGAAAGTTTCACTGCATCACTGCAGGTAACGAAAATACTGGTACAGATAAAACACAAACCAAACCTAACAAGACACGTCTTCACTCTTCACTGGACACCACATCCCTCCAAAATTGGGTACACAGCACTTTTAGACCTCAGCAAAAACGTTTTCACTACACGCATAAGAAATAATCTCGGTCGGTATCAAGTGACTATTTAGTTGTTGCTGTGAGAGCGAATCTTTAATTAATAATTATGCAAATAAACCTCATCAGCCTGTGCAGACCACAGTGTACACAGAAATTGTAAATAGTATAAGATAGAGGAATCGAAGCCTTCTAAGCGTGACCACAAATATGACCATCACCAATGGTTGAAATATAGGTGGCATTGGTAGTATCAATAAGGACCGAACCAGGAAAAATTGAATAGAATGTCCAAGATGATCTCATCCTGCAAATTACGGTATAAGGAACATTAGATTAAGCCTTTGGCCACAAAATCGTAGTTTTTATGGTCATAAAACGCTTTGTTTAGGAGTTATTTAATGATATAGCTGATTGAGAGCTGTTGCATTTGTCATGAACATTTAGATGCGGTTTTTTAAACAAATCCTTAATATTTTTACAGTCTAAATGCAATTCATCACATCTATGTGAAATTCTCTTTCTTTGGAGACCTCATTTATCAATATTGGTTGCGTGTGAAAGGCGCAGAAGGTATGTATACGACTGAAATAATATTGTCTCCTGTAAGGCATTAAAGATGCTTGATGGCGAGTATGGATTTTCATAATTGCTCTGCTTACATCTTTCTGCATGAAACACTAGGTTGCCCATTTTGAAATATGGGCGACCTCCCCCTTACGATGACCTTATTTCGTAAAAGTCAACCCATTCTGAGTTAGTGCAGAGTAGATTTCTGAGGCATCTACCCTACTTACTAAATGATCAAATGCTATTTAGCAATCTTGACTAAGGTCCTTTATCACAGAAATTGAAATTCATTACTTTACACAGCAGGACTATTACTGATATGAGAGTTCTTTTTAAAATTTTCAATGGTAATGATGAAAGCAATTTCATCAATCAAATAACCTTTAATATAGCTTCACAACCCCAAGATGACCCAAGGTCATCTTCAATTTTTCATGTAATGAGAACATCTATAGGTAATAATGATACAATGCACACACTCCTGAAATTAGGTAATAAATTCGGAATGCAAATCGATTATTTTGATATCTCACTATCATCTTTCAAAGCTATTGTTTAAATTTAATCAATTAATATCTGAATGGCTATCTTCTGAATGGTTTCTAATACTTTTACTTTGAACAAGTTTTGTAATTTCTTGTTTTTATATTCCAGTATTCCGTAAAATCTTTCTGATTCGTTTGTAGTTGTGACTCTTGTATTTTGTAGGTTTGTATTTAATGGCTCATACGTAAGTTCCGGTCCTGCACTTTATGCAATCACCTTTTATATACACTTGTTTTGTATAAGAAGAAGTAAATAAAACTGCTGCAAAAGAAGAAATAAACAAAACTATTATTGCTTAAATTGTAGTTAAAATACACAAAGGAAGAGATATTAAATGAATATAAAATGACAAAGTTCTAATATTGGGAAATAGACAACATTAAGAAAATCTAGCTTCAATATTAATGCATTACAATAGAATAATTTTAGAAGTTAAATGGAGATAAATGTTGAATTTTTTACAAATATAGAAATGCAATTTTAGAAATTTAAAGAAAATCAGGCTTATGCCATATTATTACTTAAAGTTTGCTCTATTTTAGCATTAAAAAAATAATACATTTTTAAAAAAAGTTGAAGCAGCTTTTGAAATCATTTTTTAATGTAATTTTTTGTGATGATTTGATCAATACTATAGATGGATTAAACATGAAGTGTGTTTCTGAAATCAAAGTTGTGCATTATTGTTGATAATAAAATGTGTTTTGATCAACTTCTGATGTGAAAAATAGTTCTTTAAATTGTTATATAATACCCAATATTAGGTTTTGCAAAAAGACAAACATCCAAATTTACTTCATTAAATGTGCTATGAATATTATACGTTTTTTAGTTAAGTCTAAACTTGTGTATTGTTCTTCAATATGGTCTCCCAGTACTATCAAATTAAAAGAATTGAAAGTGTTTAGCTGATATATCTCTTATGCAGCATGAAAGGTTAATCTCAAAAATTTTAGATATAGTGACAACTACTCAGTAATTGCTAAATGATTGAATATACCATCATTGGAATCTGTGAGATTGACAAATGATGTACTTTTTATGTATAAACTTCTTACAAGGTTGATTGATTGTTGAATTGAAGGATCTTTTTGCTGAATATTCAAATCCATGAAATATAGAGATGATAAGTTACTTTAAGAAATTTATTTAATCTCAATTTATGTATGTCATTACGATTCCCAGACTTGTTATATCATTTGCAATTTTGTCATGTGGTGATTTGACTATCTATACTAATTTTCTACAAGTATTAAACATTGTTTATATAATTATTGCTAAATTTATCTTATAATTGTCGTTACCATTTTGTCTCTTACTTTGTATTTGTTATTGCAGTGCTTTGTATTTGTTATTAAATCGATCCAAGTATATATTGGGCCACTTAGACTGTTGTATTTTGTAAATTAAAAAAAAAAAGATTTTTACTCAAACATTAACAAAACAAGTTATATTAAATAAAAAACAAAGAAAGTACACATTGTTTCAAGATGCAATTGTTATAAAAAGTAATTCCTTGCAATTTTGAAAAATTGGGATGAATAGACTCAAAGGAAACAGTTTTGTATTGTAACAAAAATTGACAGGAAAATACAAGAGCCATCTTTGAGAAAATTTGAAAAAAAGAGCCCGAGAGAAGAGTAGGATTTCTGGATTGCAGTGCAGTTTTCAATATATTGTTTTTTGATAAAATTCATAATTCCAAAGTTAAAAACATATTATGGCCACCCAGGTACTAAACTTCAACTAATTTACAGCTGCATTTGACAGTTCATCAGCAGTAACAGTGTCATCCAATCGGGAGGTTTCATGTCACTACATTGACGTTCAAGCTTTCATATCAGCTGATTCACATTAAGTGAAGTTATGTTTCAATGCAAGAATAATTGAGCAGCTTTTGGGTTTTGCCAGGAATTAAGTAAAAGTAAAGCTTTATTACTGTTTTAGGAAATTATATCTAGTTTTATAATTCTCTCAGAATTACGTGCGGCTTCTAACGCTTCTTCTACGCTAATCCCTTAATGATCAAATTCCCTGACTTTTTCTGGTTTCGCATGAGGTGGCTAAAGTGTATTTTGGTGTCATTGCGGTGGCAGGCCTGCATTAAGCATGGAGCGTGTGCAGTGGGTGAGGCGTGTGGGTGTGGAGCAGCCTCACCTGTGCCGAGCGCTACTTTCGGAAGGCGCCCCTGGCGGCGGAGGCGGAGGCGAAGGCGAGGAAGGCGTTGGCGGCGCGCGCCCCTCTGCCGCTGGTGCTGGTGCCGCTGCTGGTGCGGGGCGAGGCGTTGGCGGAGGCGAGCGAGTGGAGGCAGCGCTGCAGCTGCTGCGGGTCGCGGCGCCGCCGCGGCGATCCATTCGGTCGAGGCCGCTGGCGTAGCGGGCAGGTTACGTAGCGCGAAGTGGTCGGGCGCGGGGAGCCCACGTGGGGGCGGCGGCCTGGATGCGGAGGCGAGGGCGCGGGGCCGAAGCGAGGAGAAAGGCCGGAGCGCGTTGAGCGGGTAGCGCGGAGGAGGGTGGGCGGCGAAGGCGAGGGGGTGGGCGGGGGAGTGGCGGCGGGAGGGGGACGAGGAGGAAGAGGAGGCGGGCCGCCGCCGCAGCCGCCGCCGCCGCCGCAGCCTGCAGCTGCCGCGCGCCAGGTTCTGTGCGATGGTGGGCGATGCCGCCGGCGCGTGCGGAGCAGGCCTTTGGGCGCGGAGCGCGACTAGGTCCGAGTGCGGTCCGAGGGTACGCCCCCACCGCTGCGCCGCCCGCGCGCCGCCGCGCCGCCGCCGCCGCGCCGCCGCCGCCGCCCGCGTCTTGGAGCCCCCTCGAGGCCTGCGCCGGGGAGGCGCCGTCGTGGCCCACAGGCGCGGGATGTGCGAGTGCGGGGCGGCGGCGGCGGCGGCGGCGGGGGCGCCTTGGGCGGGCGTGCGACGCCTCGCCCACGGGCCCGTCCGCCGCCGCCGCCAGCGCCGCTCGCTGGCCGGGCTGCGCGGCGACGCGCCGGGGACAGCGACAGCGCCACCGCCCGCTCCACTGCCCCTGCGCCTGTGCCCCGTCCTTCGACGCAACCTGAAAACGCACGCAACCTCCCAACCACTGCTGCAACGTTTCCTCGACGGTTCGTGGCAGACTGCGCCTTACCCGCACGGGTGTTTTACAACTATATACTACGCAACTTTAAATAAAAATACCCTTTGAGCACATTAAAAGAGCCAGTGCGAGGGCCGACGTACTTGGCGGTGGGCGCGAGGCTCGATGGTGAGCACGTCCTTGGGGCGGTGGTCGTGGGCGGGCGCGGGTGAGGCGCGGGCGAGGCGTTGGCGACGAGTAGCTGCCGCTGGGGGTGCGCGTGATGGTGATGGACGACGGCAGGCGCGGGGGCGGCGCCGGGGCGGGGCCGGGGGCGGGGGCGCGGGCAGCAGCGTGGCGCCGGCCGGCAGGCGGATGCGCCGCCTGCGCCTCGCCCTCCTCCGGCGGCTCTCCTTGATGCACACGTTGCTGGCGCGCTCTTAGCCTTGGCGCTGGCGCTGCTATTGCCACTGTTTGTTGGCGCTGCGTGTTGGTGTGTTAGTCTTAGCGCTGGCGCTGGTATTAGCGCTATTGTTGGCTTTAGCATAGCATTGCGGGCTCGTGTTGTGTAGCCTTAGCGCTGGCGCTGGTATTAGCGCTTATTGTTGGCTTTAGCACTGGCATTGGGCTCGTGTTGGTGTTAGCCTTAGCGCTGGCGCTGGTATTAGGTATTGTTGGCCTTAGCACTGGCATTGGCGCTCGTGTTGGTGTTAGACTTAGTGCTGGAGCTGATACTGGCGCTAATGTTGGCCTTAGCACTGGCATTGGGCTCGTGTTGGTGTTAGCCTTAGCGCTGGCGCTGGTATTAGCCTATTGTTGGCCTTAGCACTGCATTGGTGCTCGTGTTTGTGTTAGCCTTAAGTTGCTGGGGCTGATACTGGCGCTATTGTTGGCCTTAGCACTGGCAATTGGTGCTCGTGTTGGTGTTAGCCTTCTCGCTGGCGCTGCTATTGGCGCTATTGTGCCTTAGCACTGGCATTGGGGCTCGTGTCGTGGTTGGCCTTGGCGCTGGGCGAGGGCTGCGTGGGGCCGGGCGCGAGGCGAAGAGCGAGGGGCTGTTGGCGGGGCCGAGGGGGCTCTTGGGCGGCGTGCGGGGCGCGGGCGAGGGCGCGCGAGGGCGCGGGCGAGGGAAGGCGGAGGGTTCGTGGGTCGGGCGGGCGGGGGGCGAGATGGGTAGTGGCTGAAGCTGCGCAGTCGCTTGGCCGAGGGCAGCGCCGCGGGGGCTGGGCGCTGGGCTGGGCTGGGGCTTGGGCTGGGCTGGGGCTGGGGCTGGGCTGGGGTGGCGAGGGCGGCGCCGGGCGCTTCCCGCTCCGCCCGTGCGTGGGCGGAGGGGCAGGGGCAGGGGCAGGGGAGGGAGGGCGAGGGCGAGGGCGGGCCCTGCGCGAGGCGCCGCCGCGCAGCCACCACCGCGCCGGCCGAGACGGGCAGGATGGTGACGAGCGCTGGCACGGGCGGGATCCTGCGCGCGGGGCGGGCGCGGGGCGGCGCTCCAGGGCCACCGCCGCCAGCAGCCGATGCCCTCGGCGCCGCCGCGCCTCGTGCGCCGCGCGCTCGGCAGGCCGTGATGGCGCCGACTTCTTGACGGCGCCGTCGGCGGGGGCGGGGCGGAGGAGGCGGCTGCCGCTTGGCCGCGAGCGCCGCCAGCGCGGCGTGCGGCCGCCCCCGCCGCGCCGCCCGGGCCGCCCGCGCCCGCGCCCGCGCACGCCGCCCCGCGCGCCGCCGCCCCGCGCCCCGCGCGGGGCCCGGGCCGTGGCGAGGCCGGGGCCGGGGGCTGGCGGAGCGGCTGGAGGCGGCGCTGGGGCTGGGGCTGTCGGCTGGCTGGGGCTGGGGCTGGCGGACGAGCAGGGCTCTTTGGCGGAGACTGTCTGTCGCCAGACGAGGGGCAGCTCCTCGAGGATGGCGGCGCCTCGGCGCCGCTGTCGGCCTCCTGCGCCGGCCGGGGGCGCCGGCAGGGGGCGCGGCGCGGGCGCGGGCGCGGGCCGTGCGGCTCCTTGCGGTGCGCGGCGTCAGGAAGCGGTAGTGCAGCGCAGCGGCAGCACGCGCTTCCACGAGTAATGTACGCCACGTCCATCAGCGTCAGGTCGTCCGCGCAGCGCTCCTGCTTGTAGCGCAGCTCCACACGTGCGCCGGCGCCAGGCAGAACTGAGGCGCAGGACTTCTTCAGCACGCGCACCGGCACCTGCGCGCAGCCACCACTTTTCAACTCACAAAAGGCACACAATTACATCTATTTCTTTCTCTTTTTACTCATAATCGAGAGAAGGATACTTCCATCTCGACTCCGGATGAAAATTCCCCCTCCAAAAAAAACAAACATTTCCAAAGCCATTTCATCAATCATTCATATCCATATTATCAAAGCCAAATTGCCCAATCTGACAACCTGACTACTTACCCACACGCTACTCACGTCAAAAACTGCGTAACGTAATGGTAACGTAACGTAACTGCGTAACGTAGTGGGGAAATGCAATATGTGCATGATTTCTACAGCTTCGGTATGTTATTCTAATTTATATACGTATTACATATTAAATTCAATTAACAATCAACATTTATCTGCTGCAACGCTTCTCTTCACGAAGTCACGTGGAGCGACACTAAAAGTAACAAGTCACCTACGGCACTTCATCGCATTTTCCCTGTGCATTTTGTGCCCTTCAAAATCCCCAAAATTTTCTACATGTTCCCCCTCTTGGAGTATGAGCCAAATTCTTCTCGGACCACTCTTCTCCTTTCCCCAGCATTTCCTTCCTCCAATTCCAACCTTTCTGTTCTACGGGATGGCGCCACTCGTTTCAAGTACATTGAATATAAAAACATTTTTAATTAAAACAAAAGTTCACTTTATAGTTTTTATTAAAGCCCCAGATCTCGTCATGCAAACACCACTCCCTGCCCTTGCATGCTCCTGATAGAAGTTAACGTAGTCACCATTTGGTGGCATTTTGGTACAATTTATCAAGTTAAGAACCAAGATTAAGTTCAAAGGGAGCGCGGTAGAGAAGAGCTCGTGACTGACCTGCGCCTGGCAGCTGACGTAGCGCACGGCAGCGCGCCGTCCGGCGGGCGGGCGTGGGCGTGGCGGGCGACGCCGCGCCCGAGCCCCGCGAAGACCCTCCTCGCTGTCCGCCTCCTCCGCGCCCTCGTCTCTGGCAAGGCACTTGCATTCCACGACCGCATCCGCCAGGGCTAATGTCGTAGCGCGAGCAAGCGGAAGCCGCGTCCAGTACGCACCTGTAGACGAGGGCGACGCTGAAGGGCTCGGTGGGCGAGAAGATGAGCGGGTCGACGGCGCCGCCGTGTCCTCGGGGCGCAGGTGCGGCGGCGGCGGGTGGCGCGCGTAGAAGTCGCGGCGCCGCCGCACCTCGCGCGGGTACAGCTGCGGCACCATCTTGTAGACGAGCGTCTGCAGCAGCTTGTCGCGGCGCAGGTGGCGCGCGAGGGCCCGGCGCGCCCGCGGGCTGCAGCTGCACCTCGCACACCGGGCAGAAGCGCCGCCGCGCGCCCGCGCCGCGCCCTCCGCCAGGTAGCGCACGATGGCAGCTCTTGCAGAACGAGTGCAGGCACTCCACGGCCGTGGTGGCGTCCACCAGGTAGCCCCGCACAGGCTGCACACCAGGTTGCGCGTTCACGTCGGCCAGCCGCAGCCGGCGCCCGCCCCCGCCCCCGCCCGCCGCGCCCCCGCCCCGCGCCGCGTCGGCCCATGGCGGCCTCCTAGCGCCCGCCGCCCATCCGACCGCCCTGCAACACACACACACACAAAAGGTGTAGTAAAAGTAATATCTACCATGTGAAAAGGATGTATGTGATTAGTGTTTAAGTAAGGTGAGAGACAACGCCCACCCACGCCCCCGCGCGGGGTCTCCCCGCCGGCACACGGCCCACGCGCCGACACGCGACGAAGCGCCGCGCATGTTCGTGTAAGGGACGAGCACTCGATATTCGCCTGGGACAGACTAAATTGCACATGGCCACCTATCGTCACGACTCGGGAACCCTGCCTCGGTCGGAACTTGAACCTAGGACCCCGGTCAGAGGCACTGCAATGACGTCAGCGCCTGCTGTAGCTGTAGATAAATCCATATAAAAATAAAAGGGAATGTGCGTATGACTATCGCAGATGCTCAACCGATTTCTCTGAAATTTTCACACTTTGTTCTCATTAGTATCAGGAGTACTTAAAAAGCGGTTTGACATGTGGGGATGTTGTTTGCAAAGTTAATCGGCGAGGTGGTCTCTACGCCGTTCCCAGAGGACCTTGCTTAAAGTGCAATCAATGGATATCTTTTTGAACTACTCGCCGCCCCGCTAAAAAATTACACCAGTAATAAATAATTTATTACTCCAATTTTAAAAATAAATATTGATTGTCCTACTTGCTCAAACGTCTTTAGAGTACACTTGTATCTTCGAGAGCAATGACAGCCATCGGGAACGCAATGACCGGCGAGCACGCCGTGGAGCTACAGGTCTACAATATCTTCTCGTAAGCTGGGATTCAACATGAAGACAGCCGGCCTCAGCAATGCTTCCTGCCGAAGGGGCTCTTGTCGCTGAAGGCGTGCGTGCGCCTTTGCACGGTGGGGCACCTCGTGACTTCAACTCAAATCCGAATATGCGTAAGAAAACGTACCACGATTTTTTTAAAATGAAGGCTGCTGGGAAATTTATTAATTTTATTGACAAAATAAATTTCAATAAAATTGTATAATAAAATGGTTTGCAAAATATGAAATGTAGTACAAAATATGTAACGAAAAATTGGGATATTGTGTTGGAATTGTCCTAAAATCAAAATTTCGACAACTGCACATAGAAAGACAAACAACTGGTAATTTCATAAATATCGTGAAATCGAGTGAAACTTACGCAATAATCATCCAAGTTGTTACATCAAACGGAATACCTATTGAGCCGTTTTTCACTAACCGCGCGTATCCAGCATTCAATCGCCAAAACAATTGCCTTCGCGACCAATCCCCTATTCGCACCCGCGCACTCCCAAGCCCGGACTCATCAATTCAATTTCAAACGTTTTCACGAAAAAAGGACCTACGGCATATTATCCTTACATGCGTGTTATACGCTAACTCAAATTAAAAAATTAAAAAAGGACGAATTTGGAACCATCGCCGGTCTTAATGGGACGTACCCTAAACAAATTAAATGTGCTTACCAACACTGGCAGCCGCAACATTACTCAGATCGGCAAGGCGATATCCATTTTGGAGGAAATCATGAGGTTGGGTTAGGTACTAGCGTTGTTGACAGACTGACAAAAGTGTTATTGTAGTGTAACATATAAATTTACCTTCCACAACTTGTCTTCTGTCACTGATGGTTCAGGACGGAATACATCCTGAAAATGGAAAACAATCCTTTACAATTTCAAACAAAAAGCAAGTGTTAAGTATGAAACAGCAGTCTATGATCAAGTCTACTGTATCAACATTATTTATTAAGCAATATTCATGTAATGCATAACCCACTGGATTTAAAAAATATACCGATCAAATATGCGAACAACTCGTTACTGATAATCGGGGACTGAAAATTGTAGACACACCCAACTCTTCCCCAAAATACAGCACATCCACCAAAGGACAATTTTTCGATCTTTCAACAGCAAAGATCTATTTCATTTCATAAATGACAGACACGCTGCAGTTTATGAACAAAAGCGAGAAACTAGAAGCACCACAACATTACACACACTTTACAGATTCGAATCGTAGTGCTTGCGTGGTAAGCACAAGGGCCGGCCTGGTGGCCCAAGTCTCGACACGTAACGTAAGCCATTAACTAATACCGAAATGTTTACAACACTACTCACAAAACACACGGGCAACACATTTAAAGGCAGTTTTCAAGAAAGAAAAAATATTCATTTTCAGTTCTGAAATAATTATTTGGAAAATAAAAACCGGAGGTTGCTGGTTTGCAAACTAGCCCCCTCACACTATGTTCAGTTACATTTACTCTTTTTACTTCATCCCACACTGCTCATGCAGTAAAAAGAAAGTATTGTAATGCTGCAGGAAAAATTGATGATTTTTCAACAGAAAAACTGTTATTGCCGAGTCTTAGTTAGGAAACATTATTTCCTTTTTATAACACGTGTAATCCAAGTGTTTTGTGGGTTTTAAGAATTGAAAAATCCATTGACGGCAAAATGTCTACGTTAATGCTACCATCTACATTGTTCAGATTTTCTTTTAAAAAAATATATTCCTCGATCGATCTGAACTAACTTATGGTTCTGACAGCTTGAGACGGACATTTTGAGTTTTGGAGGGCCTTTACTTATTGTTCCAACTTTAATCAGCCTAGTGAGCAGGTATCCCTAAACTGGTCTCACGAGCTACACTCCGGTAAATTTACTTTTTGAATTTGCTCTGCATCTGACTTTCAATGGCAATAACTGCCGAGTACAGATGACCTTTCTTCGCTTGTGACCGCGTTCGCCTACCTGCGATGCAACATTGCGACGCGCGTGTGTGGGAGATTGCCTACCTGAAGGGGCTTTCCTTGCGCCGTGCTTTCCTTGTTAGAAATAAATTCAAGAATAAAATTATAAAGAAAACGATCATCAAAATAAAAAAAAAATTAGAAAAATTATAAACATATAACTAATCCCACGGGTTGGTTATATCTACGAATAGATTTTGAAATAAGGGCATGTACTATTTTTCGAACAAACCGATTAATCTTGCGTAAAATATAGACAATTTATTTTTAAAAAAATGTTTAAAAAACTAAAAAAATGAACTATCCCACATTTTCCCTAGAATGTAGTAGAGAACGGTTAAAATTGCTGCTACTCGCATTTTCGGTAATTGCAAACAATAACTTTGCAAAAGCAGAGCTGTATGCAAAAGTACAATATTGATGCTACAGTTTTTCTTAAATAAAATCTGTTCCAAAAAATTATAGCTTTAAATACGGTCATGTACAATTTTTTTTTTTTTTTGCAAAAAAATGTACCTGAAAGTTCAGCTTGAAGGATTTTTTTCTTTAAAAAAAGCTCGATTTTTTCTTTGATTGATTAGCCGCTTAAAAAGTGACACGTCTCGTGTTTTTGTAGAACTTTCTGAATTTTCAAAAATTGCAAAAAATAGAAAATGCAAGTGTATGCTGTTCTAGGACGACTAGTTCTACCAATTGACAGCATATGGTAACTATTCTGAATTAATTACTTTATGGATTATGTTCATAAAAACAAAACAAATTGTTGGGGAAATTGCCCGTTAAGCACGCAACACTACATATCATCAGCTTACTTCTGCAGCACTGTATAATTGCACTTCAGACTTATTAATGGTTACAGATAATGACAGATAAAAACCCTCGAAAATTAATCTCCTTTATACAACAGCAACATAATTCCTACTTCGCCCAAAAATATTTTGTTGATAAACAATCTGCAAAGCAATTTTTTTGAAAAAATTGAAATTATTGCAAAAGAATCCGTACAATTAAAAATAACTAGGTATGTGAACTTTAATTTGGTATTTCAATTGTGTAATTTATAGTCTTAATATATGCAATTGTATAATACTCTAACAGAAAATAAGTTAAACCTTCACTTGTACCAAAAAATAAGAATCTCAATGGAATTAATCAAATTATTATTATTATTATTATTATTATTATTATTATTATTATTATTATTATTATTATTATTATTAAATTTTAATCTTTAAACAGAGATGTTAAATTTCCGATTCAATCCTTGCAATGATGGCTCGCTAAAACTGAAATGTCACGGTGGGCAGTAAGTTATTAAGTCAGCCAATGGAATCCCTCCCATTGCATTTCATATGTATATTTTTATACAATCTGGAATCAGTCTCAATATTGAAATATATTAAAAACCTTCATGGATTCCCTTAATAAGAGGAATAGTTCAGTTGTCATGAGACAGTAATTTTCATGTTTACATTTTACAAAAAGTCTTAATTTGTTTTATTCTATGGTAATACAATAAAACTTGCTCGATACAAAATGTGCATAGTCTGGAAATCTAATGTGAATGTAAAAAGCAGTCTTGCCAACCATATATTCTACAGTAATACATTGCAAAATGCAGGATCTGGTCTAATATGGAAAAAAATACTGGTCCCCTGTACACAAATAAATATGCAATTTCTGACAAACAGAACCAGTATTTCGGAGAGAAAGAGAGAGAGAGAGAGAGAGAGAGAGAAAAAGAGAGAAAGAGAGAAAAAGAGAGAAAAAGAGAAAAAGAGAGAAAAAGAGAAAAAGAGAGAAAAGGAGAAAAAGAGAGAAAAAGAGAAAAAAGAGAAAAAGAGAAAAAAGAGAAAAAGAGAGAAAGAGAGAAAGAGAGAAAAAGAGAGAGAAAGAGAGAAAGAGAGGAGAAAGAGAGGAAAACGAGAGAAGAGGAAAGAAGAGGAGAGAGGAGAGAAAAGAGAAGAGAGAGAGAAGAGAGCAGAAGAGAGAGAAAGGAGGAGAGAGAAAGTAGAGAGAGAAAGAGAGAAGAGAAGAGAGAGAGAAAAGAGATGAGAGAGAAAGACGGAGAGAGAGAAGAGAGAGAGAAAGGAGAGAAGAAAGAGGGATAGAGGAGAAGAGGAGAGAGAGAAAGAGAGAGAGAGAAAGAGAGAGAGAGAGAAGGAGAGAGAAAGAGAGAGGAGAGGAAGACGAGAGAGAGAAAAGAGGAGAGAGAGAAAGATAAGAGAGAAAAGAGAAGAAAAAAGAGGAGAGAGAGGATGAGAAAGAGATGA